CACTGCAGCATGATAAGGTCTGCATGCAGTGATCAAGGACAGATCGACTTTCCTCTCTCCTCTCAGCACTCTGACATCCTTTGTGGGGATTCGGTGTCAGCTGACTGACTCTCTGACAGAGTATTTATTATTTATTATTATTTATTATTTAACAGTTGGAGGTTGCTATTGAGCTCATTTGTGTTATGTTCATAGCATTTAAAATGAACACATGCAGAATGGAAGGGAACTAACTTAAAACTTCTCAAATACTCTGTTGTTTTTCTGTAATGCTTTAAATATATTCACAAGACTGAAAAAGTTAATCACATCTGCAGCCACAAAGTAGGAAAATGATTGGAATATCGTCCACAAGCACACTCATATCAGCTTGTGGAGCTCATTTTTCTCCCTGGGGCTTCCCTGATTACACCTGAGGTTGCCTTCCATCACACGCGCCGATTGAGCCCCAGATAGGTATGAAGGTAGAGGAGGTAAAAATGATGTAGTGATTATCTGTCATCTATCCACAATTTAAGCAAGTTCTTGAGTCGTGATCTTGATTATGTGAACAAAACTGTGGATTTCCAGACATTTGGAAGAGAAGCAAAAACACCAGCAGCTTCCTACGGGGCCCAGGCCCCTGTGTTCCTTCGTGCCGAGGGATGGGCATCCAGCACCAAGGCAGTGGTCACGTGGTCTGCCACATGCCCTGCAAATGCTGGCCCAGTGTAGCTGGGTGCAGTGGTGTGTGATGCCACCGTTGAGTGTGTTGACAGAGATGCTGATGATGGTGATGCGGGGGTCGGGGGCTGGCAGCAAACACATCACCCCTCATCAGGCAGAAACAGAGCAGCACCAAGGGAAAGCCAGGACCAACAAAGTACGCAGATGGACAAGCCACTGAAGGAGCAGGAATGGTGGCATTAGGGAGGCCCAGCTGGCCGCTACTATGGGAGGGCTGTACACAGAGTCACAGCCTGAGGTAACGAGGCTGAGGAGGGAGGGGGATGAATGAACCCCAAACTTTCTCCTCTATCCCCAGTCTCCTGCTGCTCCCTCCCATTGCCAAACCAAGAGAAAGTGAGAAGGAAAGGGAGCCCCGTAGCTCACAGTGTGGAAATCCCATGTAAAGAGGAGCATGTATGAGGCACGGCCAGCCCCCTTGGAAAAATCCAATGGGGGCCAAGTCACTGTGAGGTGAGTTGGCCTCAGTGGCTCACTGGAAGCCCGAAGTAGTAGTCATGGCCATTGGAGATAATAGGGGAGGGGAGGGAGAGGCAATTAACGTAAATCACGAAGACTTATCCTATGGGGCCCACTAGAGACAGAGATGAGACTTGAGAAGATAACCAAGCTCCAGCAACACCTCAGCCTCCTTCCACCCTCTCCCAGCCTGCCTCCCTGCTTTCCAACTTGATGGTGATCCCGACTTTCTCTCAAGTCTTCACCAACTGACTTTATGGAGCTGATTGACTTCCTGTTGGCCATTATTAAGCACTAAGAGCATTGCTAAGTCTCCAGCAAATCCTAGAGACTCCAGACACAATCCTGCCTGTCCCCACTGAGTAAGAGTTAGGGTACATTATATCCCAATAATTGGGGTCACACCCCAGCCAGCTCAGCAACCACCTTCTCTACCTTTTGCTTCAGAGCAGTCCCAGACCCCACGAGGATCATGATGGAGGTGGACTCTGCCCTTGGGCAGCAGGCTTTCCAAGCTCTCCACACCCATGGCTGATGAGCTCTAAATTTCATAAGTGGGTCAGTGAGTTTAATGATGAAGGAGGGGTCACCTTCCTGCAGTTCTTGGTGACTGAACACATGATTCGGAGAAAAGCAGCTCCATAAGCAAGCATCTGGGGTACGGCAGGCACTGTGTCTTGTGGCACAGCACCAGCTCACTGTACATAGGCCTCCTGCAGGCCCTCCAGACTCTGTCAGGCTGGCTGAATCTGGGTGAGAGGGCACATGGGGATGCCAGTGACAGTGGCCACGAGCTCATTGTTGCAACAACTTTCTCTTCCAATGAATTCCTTGGTTAAAGAAGACACAGGATAGGATTCCATATCAGCTCATCTCCATGTACAGGGATGGTGGATATGGAAGTGTTTCCAGCAGGGAAGGGGATTCTGCATCTGAGGTTGGTGTTTCTGTGATGAGAACTTGCTATCAGATCAATGAAGACAGAACCCCATGATTGACAAGCAAGAGGGGCCATGGTGGCCTTAGCCACACCAGCCGTGATGCCCAGTGTGGAGGAACACATGTGTCTCTGCATCCCTGCCATCACAGTCATCTTGATGTTGGTCACTGAGCAAGATCTGAGGTAGCGAGGGAAAGACGCTGGCTGATGTTCACCGTGCACCCTGGCATTGGACAGAGTTTGGCGAAGTGGATCCCACAGTGCGTGGATATACACAGCTCCACGTTCTGTGTCCATCCCCAGTGCTGCAGCTTGGATGTGGTTTGACCGTGTTTCCCCATGGGGATCATGTGGTGACGGTTAGTCCCCAGTGGGCAGTGTAGCTGTGGTAGAATCTTTAAGAGGTAAGGACTAGAGGGAATTTATTTGGTATCTTAGTCAATGATCTGATACTGTAATAAAATACCGAAGATGAATCAAATTAAAAGGATAAAAGATATATTTTGGTTCATAGTTTTAGAGGTTTCAGTCCATGGTCAGTTGGCCTATTGCTTTGGGTCCTTTAGTGAGGCAGGACATCATGGTGGGGACACATGGCAGAGGAGGTCTATTAACCTCATTGTAACTGGGAAGCAAAAGAAAGAACTATGTGGAGGCTGAGGTCCCAATATCCCCTCCAAGGGCACACCTCAGAGAGCTAAATTCCTTTCACTGGGACTCAACTCTGCCAAGGGCACCATGGGCTGGGGACAAAGTCTTCAACAAATGGGCCTGTGAGGGACATTTCAGGTCTAAACTGTAACATTAGGCTACAGGGGAGGGCACTGCCCACAGAGGGCTTAACATAGTTCTCGTGGAAGCCCAGGTAGCTCCTGCTGAAGGATTATTGTAGACAAGTAAGGCTGGTCCTTCCCCACACTCGGGCTTCCTGCCTCACCGTGTGATCTGCTCTTTCCTCCCACTCCTACTGCTGTGATGCCACCCACCACGAGGCCTTCCCCAGAGCTGCACAGAAGCCAACACCATGCCCTGGGACCTCAAGGACTAAATAAACATCTTTGCAAATTAGCCCACCTCAGGTACTGTGTTACAGCAACGGGAAATGGACAAACACATGGCCTTCCCTTCATCTTTCTGTCACTGTTGTGGCAGTCTCATGTTCCACATCCCTGACTGGCCTCAGCAGCCCCAGCCCCCATGTCACAACACCGTTGACACACATCACACAGCTGCCATCTTCTGTAGCCTTAAGTTCCATTCTTGAGAGGCTGACCTTCCCCATAGCCTAGGAGCCTGTCTTAAGCGGGCCATGATGGATCAGCACTGCGAGATCCCACTGTGGGTCCCGGCCCACCTCTTTCCTGCTCTGTTGGGAGATGACAAGGAGCAGGTTGGGACAGAGGTGGGGTGGCAGAAGAGGCCTCAGTACAGGCAGCACTCCCAGGGGATGCAAGGTACTGGTGCCTTCCTGATGTGCTCAGGCCCAGCCTTGTCCACACTGCTTCCATTTCACAGGAAATGCTCACACGCTCAGCCAATCCCATTTTATGTTGAGTGGAAGAGATGATGATCCAGACAGCAGTTCAGGTTGCAGTCACCTGACATTCTATGGTCACATTGTTGCCTCTACCAGGAGAGCAAACATGCCAAGCAGTGGTCCTTCACACGGACCCTCCCCAATTGTGGGACAAGATGATGGTGCATTCACAGCACATCCGGGAAAGGTGGGCCCACCTTGTCCAATTACATTCTAACATGTTATGAGTGATCAAGGTGAAGGTAATAGAGGAGGCTCCCTAGGGAACAGAGAGAGAGAGTATCTCTAAATAGATACTCCATAAGTCTTGAAATAAGTTAATGGATATCCAATACTTTAAATAACATAGCTCATTAGCTAAGATTTTACTACCTTGTTCAAGCCTGTGCTGGAGAGTGTGTGACAGTCAGATTTTGTGTGAGTAGTGCTTGCACAGCCCTACGTGTAATCATGACATCGGGTATCTTAGCAGTACTGGAGTTTGAATTCAGGGCCTCACACTCTCAATCCACACCCCAGGCCCAGATGTCATTATGAAAGAATTTTGCTGCTTGCTATTACAAAGGAAGTCTCAGCTACAAAACCACACTGGTTTAAAATATTTAATAATTAAAAAAAATTTAAAATTTTTATACAAAGATGATGAGAAAAATCTCATGCAAACTCTGGGCATACAATAAAAATAACTCAAATATTAATATGATGGTTTGTACAAAATAATTCTTTTTAAAGAAGACCTCTGGCAGCCGGCACGACTCCCTTCTCCTGGCCTGGATGCCCCTGTGGAAAAAGAATGTGACCCTCATTTTTAGCCACCTGTGTGTGGTCCACGGTCCTCATGTTGAATGCCCAGTTGTCATGGTGACGAATGATGAAACTCTATTGCTACTACTCAGGAAACAAGACCAAGACTTGGGGACACTGGAGTAAGAGTCCCTTAACACCACGGAAGTCCTGCAGAAGTCAGTCAAGTTACTCGTAAAGATCAGAGGAGTGGTAGGTAATCCTTTGAAGTGATGGAAAACACTGGAGCCCATTATCCATGGTGTCTGTTTCTGCTTAGTTACAAACCTGCAGTGGATTTTTAATTTGTGTATATTACAAGTAATTTGCATAATTAAAACAAGTAAGGGATCCACATATCATGGCAATTAGAAATGCATCAAACTCGGAATGTTGTACAAAAGAGAGCTTCAATATGAAACAGTAATCTTCTGAGAACGACCCCACTGTGCCTGCAGCCACCTGGCTGTGGGGACCCCCGGCTGGCCACCACCTCCACCCGTCTGCTCGGAGCTGGCACTTTGCTGCCCACCATCTTGGTGCATTTTCACAAACTCATCTCATCTTCCTTAGCCTTAGTCTGTTTTCTTTGTCCCGCTTCTTAAGAATAAGTATGAACTGGTTGAAAAAACGCTCCTGATCCTTTCTTTTTTGAACGAGTCGAAACCTCTGATCCCGGCCATACTTCTCAGCAAACTCCTTGAATGTGGTCCTGAAAAAGAAAGCGTTTTCTGAGCTGTCTTCCCGAAAGGAACCTTTACTGTTCCTGACCACAAGGGAGCCTTGCTTGAGGTGATGAAAGTCCTGAGGGGCAGGACACCCACAAGCCAACAGGCAATTGCTCCCCAAACTGGGCATCACCCTCACTAGGGTCCTGCAGGGCTCTTTCTGGCTTCCCTTGCAAACTCCTTTATTCTACACTAACTAGCCTGGAGTTTCCCAACGCCAAGACCACTGCCACTGTGCAAGTCTTTGTCAGTCTTCCCCTGTCCTCACTCTTGCTCACGCCTGCCATGGGACTTTGCATATGTTGCTCTGTCTACCTGGCCCTTCTCTCTTTTCTTCTCCCACTCCTTCCTAGAAAACAGGACTGGTGTGCATTCTTTGGGACACTCACCCTCTCCAGAGCCCAGGGAACCATGAGTGGCTCTTCGGCAGCCCCGCCCACAGTTGTGATCCTGTTCACTGATGCACAACTTAACTTGAGCCTCTCCACTGGGATGGAGGTATGCCTATCTGCTCTGTCCTCCGCTGGCCATGCTTAGTGTCAGGCTGTGGCCATGGCAGGTGGGGAGCACTCAATTATCCATTCAGGGAAGCCATCATTGCCAGGGCATAGAGCCACCTGGAGGAAATCTCAGAGGCCAGTGCTGACCAACAAGACTATGCTCACTGCTGGGGCAATGAGCAAAAGGACCAGCCAGTCTTTTGCAGCAACACCTGCTCAGCACCCTGAGACAGCTATAGCCTTGTCCTGTCCAGGGATAGTGGCTAGGCCCCAGGTGCTGGTGAGAGCCAAGGAGCTCCTCCTCTCAGCCACAGAGGAGTTCTGTCCTGCCTGCCACGGGAGCAGAGGGTGCATGGAAAATTCATTCGTTCTTTGTTAGAGGGATTCTTGTTATTTTCCAACCCTCCCCATTTCTCTCTACAGAGGATTTTTGTACTTTCCTGAAAATACTTGATTATCCTTCTACATTCTAATAGCTTCGTAGCATTTTTATATATGACAAGATTATGTTGATGCAGCTGTTGGAAGACAAGATGAATCTTCCTTTGACCCCTCCTCCTCGTCGGCCCTGAGCCCTACTCCTTCCACCACTGGAATCTTCCTGTTCTGCCTATGGGGTGCTTGTTTACGTGTTTCTCTAAAAGAAAGGTGCCTTTCTCTGATTCCCCCCAGCTCCCTTGCTTCCTCCTTCCTTCCCTGATTTAGCCATTGTGGTGCCATGTGGCTGACTCCTATATGCACTTCCTTCCCTGCCCTGCATTTCAGCATCCAGGTCTGTTTTTCCCTCCACCTGTCTGCATAGGAGCCTGGGCATCTTCTGGCTGGGGCAGTGCAGAGGCAATGCCAACACAAGCAAAGATACCTTTGCAGAGAAATGTCCCTGAGTTTGGGAAGCACTAAAGCTCTGTGCTCCTCAGCCATGCCGAGCCTGCTGGCTCTGGCTAAATATCTTGGTGCCGGGAAGGCAGCTGGGTGTCCTCAGTGCACCTTGGGCCTAGCACCACCAGCTTGCGCTGAAGGAGGAGGATACAGTGCATTCCTCAGTGTCCATCCCACAGTGGGCAGTGGAGAGGTGCTCTAGGCTGGGCATCTAGGAGAACAGAACTGACCCTGTGCCACCATTCCCAAAGACTTCTCAGCAAGGATCTGAGACAGGTGACAGGACTGGTTTGGATGACAGCAGGAAGTAATGGAGCCCTGAGGTGCTGCTTTTAAGGGTGCTCCAGGGCTGTGCTTAACCACTGTCTTACCTGCAGTCTGAACTGCCCACTTCTTACCAGGTCTCTCTGGACCCAGTGATGGAAGATGGAGATAAGACACCAAGAAGAGTTTTGAAAATGGCGCAGATCTGGCCACCTGGCCAAGAGTGTCTGGGGGTCTATGTTGTGGTATGTGTACCAATGCTGTGTGAGTGGTGTGTCTTCATCCCAAATCCATGGGAGGGAAGATTTTGGCTCATTGCAGACATTTTACAAATAGATAGGAAAGGGAATATTAGTTGAAAGTCTTCAATAATCACTGCAGAGGGCCATCACGACAGCTGTCATTCACTGAGCAACTCCTGTTGGCCCGGGCGGCAAGGACCCCACACATGACCCCGGTCACTTTGTGAGGTTGGAGAGGTCACCTCTATTCAGATAAGGACACAGAGGCACATGAGAGTCTACCACTCATCTCAACAGGGCATAAACTGAGGTAGCCTCCAGGTTCCTCAGTCTTGCTCTGCCTCCCACCCACAGCTGCTCACGGGCAGGCACCACCAAGCCAGGGCTGCAGCCCACTTCTCACGCTGCTAGAACCACAGGTCACCCATGACTGGATACTTGGGCTTTCCTACCGAGCATTTCATGGTGGGGATAATTCCTGCTCACTTTTTCTCTTCCAGAAAAGCCCTTTGAATAGAGGGAGAGGACCTAAGAGGATTGTCTAGCCACCACTGATCTTATCACCCAGTAATTGACCGTGCACATTTCAGATCAAACTGTAGAAAGGATCAATTAATGTCCATTTAAAAAATAGTGTTGCATATTCCCACCTAAAATGAAAATATACTAAAATCAATCATCTTTATTCTTGTAAAAGCTTTACTTTTATAATTCTGTTTTCTTGCCTCAGCCTCCTAAGTGCTGGGATTATAGGTGTGACCACCACGTCCAGCTTTACAGTTCTAAAAATAGCACAAGTTCACTGCACTTTTAAGGATTCAATTGATTGAGGCTAACTTTATAGAAGATTTCAGCTTATGTGTTTTTGCAATTTCTAACAAATACCAGCTTTCTTACTATTTGTCTTTGTCTCATGGGATAATGCCTTATTTGTTATAGTAGTTTTGGCAACCACAGTTACTCAAGTCACCAGTCCTAGAGAGTCTGTCCTTTGCCCTCACTTGGGCTTCCTGCTGGTCCATCTGGAACCAAGAGAGGGTTCTGATCTAATGGGGTGGTCATTAGATCAGAAGCTGGGCCTCATCCCATCAGTGCTCACCATGGGTTGGTGACTTGAGCCATGGTGTCAGTGAGCTGACCTTCTGATGCTCATGGGGAGGAATGCAGGAATGCAATGACTACAGCTGGACTGGCAGAAAGTTCAAAGTTCACTCAGTGACAGCAAGACAGAGAAGGGAGACTGTGGTCCCCATCGGGTCTTTAAATTAACACCTTCAGTGTCTACAGAGCACTAGGACAGATGGGTCAGCAAAATAGTCTCAAAGATCTCCTCTCATAATTGGTAAGTTTCCAGCCCAGAAACACCGGTGTGCATCTCCCTCCATACCTGGGTGACACTTTAGACTCCTCTAGAAGTTTTTTGAATTCTTCTTTGGCTAGCAGCAATTTACTTTTCTTTTCCTTGTATTCTTGTTTTATTCTTGTCTTGACAAACTGTTCAAAGATCTTAAAACACATACACAAAAAGTATTAAGAAATTGCAAATCAGAAGCAGAGTCTTGTATCCCAAACACAGCCTGAGAAGCCAGCAAGAGTCTGAGCGCAGCATTCTTTTTGTGGTGGCTGGGCCTGCATGCAGCAGCCCTTCCATTGTGGGGTTCTGTGTGGACCGAGAAGTGTAAGTACCTGACCCAGATTCTCAAGAGGTCCAATGTGTTTCTCCCACATGCAGGCCCCTCTTCGGGGTCAGACACCCACCTAGGGAGCTGCTCCAGGAGTCCTGGGAAGGACTTGAGCCCTCTCTGTGGGGTCACAGAAGCCTTGCTCAGTTGGGAGATCTTGTCTAAATGCCCCCACACTTCTCACGTAGGACTGGGAGCAGCAAGTGGAGTGACGTAGCCTGTAGCCTGTCAATGTTCACATCACTGCTGAAGCACCAGTAACACCTTACTTACTTTGTGCTACTCACTTCCTATGGTTCTGTAATTGTCCTTTGATTCTCCCAAAATTACTTGTACTTGTGAACAGAAAGTGAATCCGAAATTTCAACTCTCCCATTTCCAAAAAAATCCCACTTTTGAATATGGAGCCTGATGCTCGAGGGAAGGCTCAGGGTGGACCAGGGGCCTCCCTAGAGGACCTCCGGGGAGTCCAGGATGACATGAATCAGTGTGTCCATGACCAAGGAGGAGAACTGACCTTGGGCACTCACTTGCCCACCTTTGAAAAGAAGTGGGTTCTGCATGCTGACCCACCAAGGAAACCCTGTCCCCTTGTGTCGAGCATATGAATATCACCTGGTGAAAAAAATCCACCCACGACTCCAGAGGTTTTTCTCTTGGAAACTGGGGACCAGAGAAAAAGGTAAAATCTTTCTTTGCTACCATCCATAAAATGCTTCTCTTTGTCAGAGTAAGATTGCTGTCTGTTCTCACATTAGAAAAATTGTCCCTTACAGACTACAAAGTCAGCAGAAGAAAGGCCAATGCTCACTCTTAACACCATCCACGCCTTCAGAACATTAAAAAATAAACTGGAAATTGTTTAAATATGTATGCAAATAAAAATTAAAATGCCAATAAAATCCACATATGATGCTACATGGTCAGTAGGTAGCCACTGTGCACCGTGAAGACCTCAGATCTGACCCAAGCATGTGGATGTGGATTGTGTCCTGCTGGGGAATGGAAGAGGGAGAGGGAAGGCCTGGTGGAGGAAAGCTGACCCTGGCTGTCTCTTGGTTTTGTCTTGTTGTTTCAGATCCATTCTTTAATGGAAAACCTTTATAGGATTATAAGATCAAAGTACTACTCACCTCTTGAGGACTCAAGATATTGAGTAAAATATGCACAAATAGGACTTAAATTTTGGAACACACACATATATATTTAAGTAGAATATGATTGGCTTATTTTATCTCAAGGCAAATAGTAAGGTACATTTCAGTTGTCTTAAAATAATTTAGAAAAAGGTGAAAGCAGGGCTACTCTCCAAATAGATGTGTGTGGCCACATCAATAGCTGGGGGTTTGCTCTATTAATTTTAAATATGAGTAGAAAGACTGCTTGGCAGTGGGGTCAGAGCTGGCAAGAAATATCTTCAACCCTCTCTGCCCAGAATCATTTATCCAACTAATATAAATTTTCTCTCCTCTCCCTTTTCTCTGTTGCTTTATTTATACCACTGTAATTTAATATAGCAGGAATTTTTCCCCTCTTACAAATTATACCAGTTTTATCCAAAGTGGGGCATGACTTTTTAAAGAGATAGCATTGGTCATTATCTCGTTACTGTAAGCTCAGTATAATAAAATGAAACACTGCTTGTTACCATAGAAACAGGCCTGATTAGCTCTCCCTGGCCCCCCCGGTTCTCTGTTTAGGCTCTCTGTGCCCTCTCCAGCTCTTGGTAATCACACCTCGTGCCTTAGCTTCCCCATGAAAACCCAGTAGGAGGTCCTGCACAGAGTCTATATGTGATTCTTGCTCCCTCCCTCCCCCCCGCGCCGTGTATTTGTAAATCAAACTGTGCTTTCTGAATAGAACCCAAACACTGTTTCTTCCTTTAGTTCAGCTTCGGCAGCACTCCTTATAAAACTGCAGTGTTTCCCCACTGGTGAGCGCAGGCATTTGACCTGAGTGCTGTCTGGAGGCCACAGTGCATGGTCAGCTTCCTTCTCTTCCCACCAGACCTTCTAGCACCATATTGCACGATGTTTTAATGATTTCACAGGGACAGTAGAAAGCTTTCCCGAAACTAAGGACCCTTGATGTGAGATGACTAGCCAGTCTGACCTATCTGCACAGGACAGGTCCAGGGTTCTATTGCACAGGACTAACCCCGTCCCCTCCCTGCAGGTCCAGGGGCGCAGTCCCTGAGGGTTACTCTCTGCTCTCTCTGACCATGGCCTACAGAGGTCCAGCTTCTCTACTGCCTGAGATGATCTTAGGCAGGGGGGTTGTGGCCAGACACCAGGAGGCTGTCAACTCACTCTGGCAAGCAGATGGGCCCTGTGCTCCCAGTCCTCCTGAGGGAGGTGATTTAAGCCTTGGGGGTTGTTGGAGGGGTCTCACTGGAAGTTGGGCTTTTCTTTGGAGGGTGGGAATGGACTTCTTCAACTTGCTTTAAAGGGATAATTGGCTCTAAAAAAATATCCCAGAGAGAACAATTGATGATAAGAACACATCAGTGATAGCACAATCCATAGATTCTACAAAGAATTTTGGCATTTAATAGCCTGTGAATCTTCACCATGGCTCAAAACGACTCTGTCACATAAATAAACAAACTTCTTACTGTGTGTTTTCTTTCACAGTTAAGAACTTGAGTTTTTGCTTTTTAATAATTCAGCAAAAGGCTGAAATATTATCAATTATTAAAATCACTGTTTTTCTCTCCCATAGAAAAAAAATATATAGACAGCCCAAGTTCAGCTCACTGGGTTCTGGCATTATTTGGTGCCATTGCTAGCATGTTCCACAAACTTTAAAACTGTTCTTTCTGGAAAGTGAAACTCAGCTAAAAGAATTAATTTCAAGTCCAGATTGTAATGTGGTGATCCCATGACCCCTTACTCTTCCAACCTCACCATGGGGCCAGCAGAGGGCAGGTTTCCAGTCCTTGTGGGACAGAGGAGGCTCCTGGACCCTGGCTGAGAACACGTGGTGTGCCTCATCAGCCTCCTCTCATGTTTACTTACGGGGCTTCGTGAGCCAATGACAGAGTTAGAGACAAAATCACAACTCTCTCTACTCTTGGCTGGGTCTAGGTCCAATTCTGCCAGCTGAGATGCCAGGGGACACCCAGCAAGCCAACCTTGGCAATGAACCCTCCTCTCCACGGTTGTGTGTGACCCAAGTGCATCATGTCTGAACTCACAGGCTGAGGGAGGAAAGACATAGCCTCACAGAAGGAGTCTGATTGGGGCAGGGACTGGAGACACAGAAATCTGTCCTTCCCACTCTTATCTCAGTCCTGCTCCACTGACCCCCCCCATCCCAGTGCCCACAGCCCCTCCTTGCCCTCAACACTCCCCTTCCATGAACAGTCACCATAGTCCCTCTGTCCGCCTCACTGCAAAGTAGAGTTGTGACCTCGCTCACAAACAAGCAGGGACAGACCCTCATAGGTCCTCTTTAGAAGAGCCTCTGGGCATCCATGTCCCTTCAGCCCTGGCTTTTCTGGGACCTTTGTTTACACCAGGATTGTTTCCTGGGCGTCTCCTACTTGACCATCATTATATAATTTTAACCTTACACGTATGGCACCGGTAAAGTATCAGTTGCAGTCATTTGGAACGTGGTTAATTTTCCCAAAACTTGCCTCTTCATCTCTGAGTCTGAGTATTTTCTTAGGGGTCATGACCAGATGGTCAGAAGACCACAATTCCCTGCATGACCCTCCTCAGCTCCTCCAACCAGCTGTCACCAGTGCTCACACTGGGGCACTGACTGGCTCAGCCTCCCCAGCTGAAAAGCAGTGCCAGGCTCCCTCCCCTCAGGACCAAATGGATTCCAGAGTGGTCAACCTTGCCTCGCACTGACATTACCTGTTTCCGCTCCTCAGAGTTTAAAAGCAGATAGCGTGGGTCAAAAACAATTTTATGTAATTCTTTCTCCCACGTAGAAAATGCTGACACCTGGAGAGAGAGATTCAATAGAGCTGCTATTAGTGTCTGCTGCCGAGCCTGGAGTCTGCTGAAATGATCAATGGTAAAATCAGAACATTGAGGTGCAATGGATTCCAGGATCCAGCGTTGCATAAAAGCGTGGGACACTTCAAGCCTCCATGAAAATCAATACTATGACCATGAGAAAATTTAATTTCTAGGCTCCTGGCACTATTTCTTCCCTGGGTGTCTTCCCCGGGCTGTGCCCTGCCCTACAGCCTGCTGTGTCTGTGGAGGTAGGCCCTTTAGTATCACTTCACAGAAAGGGACAGAATATTTGTAAAAGTTCCTAGAACCCCACAAGCCATAACCAAGGGTAACAGCTGTAAATAGGCCAGGATAGCATAATTTGAGTTGATGTTTTTTACTGACATTTAGCCATTGTTTTTAAGTAAGTTACTTTTTAAAGTAAGGCATTTTATTTTGCAGTTGTTTTAGATTTACAGAAAATTTGCTAGAATGTGGCAGAAAGCTCCCACATGCCCCTTCCCAGCTTCCCGTGTTGTGAACATCTTGTGTTAGTGGGCCTTGGGGTCCACCATGCATCATCTTCACCTGACTTTCCTCCCCTGCCTCAGCTTACACTTAGTCTAGCGTTGCCTCAGGCTTCTCTACACTGGGGCAGTTTCTGACTCCGTGTTCTGAATGGCCTTGAAGGAGTGCTGGTCAGGTCTATTGTAGGATGCCTTTTTACTAGGAGCTGTCTGAGGTTTTGCTCAGGATTGGGAGAGGGTTACAAGTTTGGGGAAGATGACCACAGAGCTAATTGTCACTTTGAGCACATTGTGCCACACTATCCCCACAACTCACCACTGAGGGGGGACCTGGGCCCTGGCTAAGGTGCATGTCAGTCAGGCATCTCCTCAGGAGTTTCTCTTTTCCCCTTTGCATGCTGCATGCTGGAAGGAGGCGACAAAGTGCAACTCCGTGCAAGGAGCTGAGAGCACGCTCTGACGGGCTTCTGACGGGCTATTTATCCATCTAACCTACTTGACTTTTCTACTCCACCATTTCTCTATCATTGCACCCCCCCCCACACACACACATGTTGTCGATGCTTTGGGTTATCACTCAGTGCTGTTTTATACACTTTTCAGCTATTGGTTGCTCTTTGCTTAACTCCGTGCTCACGTCCTGCCTTGAGTACTTCCTCATTTCTGGCTATTCTCAGGAATGCAGGCTCATCTATGCACTCCCTGCCTTAGCCCTCCCCTCAGCCAACCCTCCAAGAAGCCCTGGCTCCTTCTATAAGACAAACAGAATCCCATCAGCTGGGAATTGGGTTGTTGCTATTGAGGTGTTTCTGCTTCCAGATTCTCAGCTGATAGAGCAAGGGAACGTGAAACCCATTTTAAATACTTTATTCACTAAAATCATTGGCTTACTATTAACTATGCCTTCAGGTCCCATGTTGGGTGCTGAAGAGTGAGAGAAAATAAATCAAGGCCCTGACATCTGGAAGCCCCTGGCAGAGAGTAAGACAGATGAAGGAACTAATGGTCACTCACGAGGGTATTTGCCTCATAGCAGGCACACCAAGGTGCTGAGGGACTCAGAGCATCCCAGCCGGAAGAAGATGTCTGGGATGCTGACCATTTTGGAACACAGGTACTTCTCCTGGCTCTGGAAGGGGCCTAGAAGGACATTCTAGGATGAGCTGTCCATCTGTACAAAGGTGGAGATTCATGAACTGTGGGGAAGGCAGTCATCACAAGGAGTTGAGCATGTGCAGGGTGAGGGTTGGAGGTGAAGGCGCCTATGGTGTAGCTGGGAAGGGGCGGAGGGACAGAGGCACATGCAGGAAGGTCCAAGACGTGGTTAGGAGTCTGGACACTGTCCTGAGTACAATGGGAGGAGAAAGGCCACTCTTGGATCTGAGCAGGGGATGGTTTCCTGCACAGGGAGGGGAGGCAAAGCTAACTGAAAGTTTACAAAACCAAAATTCTATTCATATTCCAAGTGTTCCTGGGGGTGGCATCATTCCAATAAAAGCGCTTATCTAGTACATCATCACAGATGGATTTCCTTAATTGACAATTTCTGTCTTTAATAGTCAAAATCAAGGCCCTGTTTGTAACACCCATGAGCTCCTTTGTTGGGTAGGATAGCCTGGGCTCCACTCAGGAGTTTTCTTCGGGTAGGTGAGTGCTTGGTGGATTGTGGGGTGGGGCCTGGGGGAAAGTGCTGGAGCAGAATGGTCCCATGTTGCTTCAACAGAGGACACTTGCCCACAGAAGCAACTGGAGCCATGATGCACAGAAGCTGTGGCCCGCCCCTGTCCAGCTCAGTCAGAAGGGACTTGTGAAGGCTGGGAGGAGGGCCGCTGATGCTTGGGAATTGGTGTCATATAACTAATTCCACCAGCATTTTCAGAATTTTTGAAAGTCTAGAGGTATAATAAAATAAATTTTAAAATACTACATAAACTTTGTCCCTAAAGGAACTTATGATCTATATGGAAGGGAAGAAAAGACATCTGTGCCCATACAATTTACAGTGATAAACTACCTATGTCATGTGACCGGTGTTCATGCTGACAGGCCTCCGTGAATTCGGTGGAGGAGGGAGTGCAGGGGTTGGAGGGAGTCCAGTGGGACTGGGACAGAGGCCACAGCTGAAGGGAAGGCTGGACAGTCGTGTGTGGAACAGTCCTGTACCATCCTCCAGGTGAGGTGGACTCAGGCTGCACCCTACGAGGAGACCAGAGGGGATCCTGTGAGTCCCCGACCTCCCTCAGCCTGTGCATTACAGTCACTACCCAGAAGTTCCATTCTAGGAGTCAGATTGTGTGTACAAACAGAGTCACACACAGCACACACGTACACACATAAACACACATATATTCACACATACGCTCCACATAAGCACGCACACCAAACATTCATACGCATATATTTCTCATACACAAACGCACAGGCACACAGGGGCACATGAAACCCACACAGATGTACACACCACACATATGTGTGTGGATTCACACACATGGACACACACTGGCACGCATGTACACCACATGTATGCACCAAATACACAAGACACATCATCACACACGTGTGCGGACACACATCAACACTGCAGAGTGATCAGGTAAGCAGCGAGTGTGCTGTCTCCTTTAACCAGGAGGTAGGCAGCTGTGTGGCAGCATGGCTCTCCAGGTGGCCTTGGGCACCAGTTCTCCCCCTCCTCACCCTCACTTCCCTGAGAAGAGCTGTTGGTGTGGAAGTGTGAAATCCTGTGATAAGGAGGGAGCTGCCCAGAACAGCTGGGCACTTCACTGTCTCCGGCCCTACAAGCAGGGTGCCCTTTGAAGTTTAGGCCAGCATGGTATATCGCTCAGGGTAGAAAGCCCAGGGTGGCTGCCTTCTGGGCAGGGACTTCACTACAAGTGGGACACATGCAAATAAGACTCCATCTGCCCAGACAGTGTCCTAAGCCCAAGGGCTGGGCTTGCATGGGTCCTAAGTCTTCTGTGGTCCCCAGCCAGCTCTCTGTAGGTAAAAAACCTACTTCATGCATTGAGCATCATGGTGTTTAGTCTCACTGGACTCAGGCAAGCCAGTAACCAGGGCACGGTGAGCCCACTTCACACATAGGTTCTCCCTCAGTGCAGAATCAGTGCTCACAGATGGCAGGTAAAAGTGATTCCCATCGATTATCCCTGTTTGCGTGGTTCCTAGGTCTAAGCGTGAGTTATCTGGCTCCTCTGACACTCCTCCTCCAGGCTCACTGGATGTCAGAGGATTTGGTTCTTGAGTTCTGGAACTGACTTCTTCCATTTCTTCAGCCCAGAGAGGAGAGATCACCTGTAGCTCCTCCACCAGAGCAAAGTCCCTGCCACATTCACACAGAGGATGTGACACTGCAGCATCTCCAGGGGGAGACATCCACCCTCTTCAAGGCCCCGCCCACATCCAAGGGAGGGGCTGTCCAGGATGTGCGACCACCTTTGAGATTCCCAGGTTCCCAGACTGACACCCAATGTTTCTCTCTGCTTTTCCTGGCAGGGCTCACCTAATTCTTCTTTGACTTGCTGGCATTTTATCTATTTAGTGACTTGGTCCTCAGTTGACTGGATCCTTCAGTCACTTTTAGACCCTTTCCTGAAGAAGCCAGTCATTCCCCTGCAGCTGTCTGTCACTGTGGGCTCTGACCCCTCCCCAGTCTTGCTCTGTTATCCCTGTAGCACCTTCTGACAACCAGAGGACACCTGGCTGTCTCTGTCCACCACCCAGGTGATATGTCGCTGTGTTCTCAGTGGGACACTTTGAGGACTAGCCCCTTTGAGGGCTTCTGGCCCTCCTCACACATTCTTCATTTAACCCACTATTTAGTGTGGACAGTGGTCCCCTGAACTGGTCTGGGATGGCCCTTCTTCCTCTTTCACCCCTTCAACTGTGCCCTAGGTCCTCTCCCAGCTTTAAGGTGGCTGCTCTCTGGCCAGCTGGGCTCTGAGGTGCTCCCCACGAGACTCCCACACTCCTCCGAGCATCCACATCCACACTGGGCTGAGGGATTCTGCAGAGGGGAAGAGTCCCCAAAGTGTGTTCCATACATGGCAGCTGTCAGGCTCCTCCTGTGAAGAGATGAGGTGAGCCTCTGTCAGACCCTCCAGAAGGTGACTGAGGTCCTGTGCATTAAGAATTGCCTGGGTGGTGGCCATTCACAGACAGACAGAGAGAGCTGTTCCACCTTCAGGCCCGGCTTCTCCAGAGCCTCTCCAGGAACTAAGGTAAAAGGATTCGGTGTGGCTCCAGGGGACAGTTCAGCTTCGAGACAAGTGGATTTCATTTAAGTAAAGTGGTTGAGAGAGTTCAGAGGTGGCTCAAAGGACCATGACACACAAGCCCTATCAGCACAGGATGGCTGGCAGTCACCTGGGGCCACCACCACCCGGCCAGACCTGGGCAGGCAGACAGGAGGATCCAGGGACACCATTACCTGCCCCTCCCCCCCACCACCTTTTCAATCTG